TGCAAAGTGGGGGGGTCTTTGGGGACCACAATGTAAAGAAGGAGCTCTTGGGACCACGATGTAAGGAGATGGGCTCTGAGGACCCTGATGTAAAGAGGATGTCTCCAGGGATCCTGATGTAAAGGGGGTGACTCTGGGGACCTCAATGAATTGAGGATCCTGACAGAAATTGGAATTCTTCAAAAAGACTGTATGTGAACACACTACAAAGTATATTCCCATGGGCAATATGTTTAAAAGGCTCAAAATACAGCCTTTTGTGACTCACAGCCAAAGTTAATAAGAAAGATTTTAAAAAATGTAAAAATGAAAGAACACTACCATCATTTAAATATTACACAGAATATAACAGAATATGTAAAAAGGAAATCAAGGCCGTGATAAATTCAAAACAAATGGCAGATTGCAAAAGAAAGTAGGACAAAATCCCCAAAAATTCTTCAAATAGTAAAATGGCCAAGTCTGAGCATGTAGGACCTTTATAATATAATCTAGAGTGGGTGACTAGGGACAAAGAAAATGCACATTTATTAAGTACTTTTTTCAGCTCTGTGTATGCAGGGGCATGGAGGAGCTCATGTCTATAATGGGGATGGTATTGCCACAGTCCTAAATGTTCTAAAATGGCTCAAAATTTATATGGTCCAGAAATATTTAGACAGAATAAAGGTGAATAAAGCACCTGGACCAGATGGCATACACCCATGGGTTCTAAAAGAATTGAGATCTGTCACTTCAAAGCCATTGTTTCTAATTTTTAGGGACTCTTTAATGACTGGCATAGTACCACTGAATTGGCGTAAGGCCAATGTGGTGCCTATATTTTAAAAGGGATCAAAATCTTTACCAAGTAACTATAGACTAATTAGTTTAACTTCTATAATCGGGAAGATACTGGAGAGTTTAATTAAAGACCACATAGATGAGTTCTTGCTGGAAAAAATATTTTAAGCAACAGACAGAAGTTGTCAAACATCTGATTTCTCTTTATAAGGAGGTGAGCAAAACCTTAGACAAAGGAGTGGCTGTGGATGTAGTATACTGTAGCTGTGTTCAGAATTAACCACTTCCAGACCGGACACTTTTACCCCCTTCCTGACCAGGCTAATTTTCAGCTTTCAGTGCTCTCACATTGTGAATGCCAGTTACTCAGGCATACGACACTGTATCCAAATGAAATTTTTATCATTTTTTTCACACAAATAGAGCTTTCATTTGGTGGTATTTAATCACCACTGGGGGTTTTATTTTTTTCTAGAAAAGTGGAAAAAGACTGAAAATTTTGAAAATAAACATGTTTTTCTTCGTTTTTGTTACTAGATTTTGCAAATAAATATACTTTCTTCATTAATTTAGGCCAAAATCCATTGTGCTACCTTTGTTTGGTAGAAATAACCCAAATCAGTTTGTATTATTTAGTCTGTATTAAAGTTATAGAGTCCACAGGCCACGGTATATATATTTGATATATTTGAAAATTTATCAATCCTGATGTACTGGCTACCTATATAGTTTCTCAGGGCCCTAAAATGCCAGGACAATACAAATACCCCCCAAATGACCCCTTTTTGGAAAGTAGACAGTCTGAGGTATTTAATGAAAGGCAAGGAGAGTTTTTTGAAGTTGTAATTTTTTGCAAATTTTTTAGGGGAAATGATGAAAGTAAATAATTTTAATTTTTTTTTCACAAAGTTGTCATTTTAACAAGTTCTTTCTCTCACACGGCATAGGCATACTTGCAGTTACACCCCAAAACACATTCTGCTACTCTTCCTGAGTATGGTGATACCAAATGTGTGAAACTTTTTCACAGCCTAGCCACATAGAAGGGCCCCACATCCAATAAGCACCCTTAGGCGTTCTAGGGGCAAAAATGACACATCTAATTTCTTGACTACCTAATGCCATTTTGGAGGTCCTGGAGCAAAATCAGGACAATGGAATTACCCACAAAATGACCCCATTTTGGAAAGCAAACACTCCAAGGTATATTTTAAGAGTCATGTGGAGTCTTTTTCTGAAGACTGCATTTTTTGCCAAATGCCATTTTTTGCAAAATGTGAAAAACAAAATGAATTTTGGAAAGCAAACACTGTTTTTTTTTTTACGCAAAGCATTTTTGTGCCAAAATTTGGAAATGAGAAAATGAAAATTTTTATTATACGCAAAACATTATGAGATATTTCTATTATAAACATAGGCATACTTAAAATACACCCCAAAACACATTCTATAACTCTTCCTGAATATGGCAATACCAAATGTGTGATCAGAGATACCGTGAGCTGGCAGGCAATGTTTTGTGAGTGTGTGTGTAAACTGTGTGCAAAGACTAAAAAGTACTCACAGTTTGCTGTAATGGCTCTCAGGTGATCAGGACTGGTATGGTGGTGATCAGGACCCGTGGGTTTGGCAGCGATCAGGATCCAATGATGTGGCGGCGATCAGAACCCGCTGGTATGGCGGGGATCAGGACCCACTAGTTTGGTGGTGATCAGGATCTGCTGGGGTGGTGATCAGGACCTGCTGGTATGGCTGTGATCAGGATCTGCTAGTGTGGCGGCGATCAGGACCCGCTGGTATAGCTGTGATTGGGACCTGCAGGTGTGGCGGTGATCAAGACTTGGTGGTATGATGATCAGGACCTGGTAGTGTGGAGGTGATCAAGACCTGCTGGTGTGGAGATCAGGGACACTGGGACGCTATGCAGTGATCAGGGACACAGCTGGGCTGCTGTGTGGCGATCAGGGACACTGACGATCAGGGACACTGACAATCAGAGACACTGACAATCAGGGACACTGACGATCAGGGACACTGACTATCAAGGACACTGACGATCAAGGACACTTGTGATCAAGGACGCTTGTGATCAGGGACGCTTGTGATCAGGGACACTGACGATCAGGGACACTTGTGATCAGGGACACTTGTGATCAGAGACAGTTGTGATCAGGGACACTTGTGATCAGAGACACTGACACGATCAGGGACACTGACGATCAGGGACACTTGTGATCAGGGACACTTGTGATCAGAGACACTGACGATCAGGGACACTTGTGATCAGGGACACTTGTGATCAGGGACACTTGTGATCAGAGACACTGATGATCAGGGACACTGGCGATCAGGGACACTGACGATCAGGGACACTGACGATCAGGGACACTGACTATCAAGGACACTGACGATCAAGGACGCTTGTGATCAGGGACGCTTGTGATCAGGGACGCTTGTGATCAGAGACACTGACGATCAGGAACGCTTGTGATCGGGGACGCTTGTGATCAGGGACACTTGTGATCAGGGACACTTGTGATCAGAGACACTTGTGATCAGGGACACTTGTGATCAGGGACACTTGTGATCAGGGACACTGACGATCAGGGACACTGACTATCAGGACACTGATCAAGGACACTTGTGATCAGGGACACTGTGATCAGGGACACTGGCGATCAGGGACACTGGCGATCAGGAGACGCTTGTGATCGGACGCTTGTGATCAGGGACACTTGTGATCAGGGACACTTGTGATCAGAGACACTGGCGATCAGGGACACTTGTGATCAGGGACACTTGTGATCAGAGACACTGACGATCAGGGACACTTGTGATCAGGGACACTTGTGATCAGGGACACTGGCGATCAGGGACACTGGCGATCAGGGACACTGGCGATCAGAGACACTGGCGATCAGGGACACTGGCGATCAGAGACACTGGCGATCAGAGACACTGGCGATCAGGGACACTGGCGATCAGAGACACTGGCGATCAGGGACACTGGCGATCAGGGACACTGGCGATCAGGGACACTGGCGATCAGGGACACTGGCGATCAGAGACACTGGCGATCAGGGACACTGGCGATCAGGGACACTGGCGATCAGGGACACTGGCGATCAGGGACACTGGCGATCAGGGACACTGGCGATCAGAGACACTGGACGATCAGGGACACTGACGATCAGGGACACTTGTGGTCAGGGACAGTCAAGGACACTTGTGATCAGGGACAGACAATCAGGGACACTTGTGGTCAGGGACAGACAGTCAGGGACACTTGTGGTCAGGGACAGTCAGGGACACTTGTGATCAGGGACAGACAGTCAGGGACACTTGTGGTCAGGGACAGTCAGGGACACTTGTGATCAGGGACAGACAGTCAGGGACACGTGATCAGGGACACTGTGATCAGGGACAGACAGTCAGGGACACGTGATCAGGGACAATTAGGGACACTTGCGATCAGGCTTGCTCAGGCTATCCGGCTCCTTCTCTCACAGACAGAACTCCGTGTGAGGAGAAGGAGCCGGAATCCGCACCATGCGGCTTCTGTTTACATTTAGACTGTGTCCTTATTGGACACAGTTGGTCCCATGGTACAGGACGATTTCATTGGTCCTGTACCATGTTACCTGATCCCCTGTATCTGAGGGACCCGGCGATCTCTGGGCACGCGCGTGCGCGGTCAAGGGGGCGGAAGCCGCACCATGCGGCTTCTATTTACATTAAGACTGTGTCCTTATTGGACACAGTCGGTCACATGGTACAGGACGGTCCTGTACCACGTCAGGTGATCGCCGGTATCTGAGGGACACGGCGATCACCGGGCTCGCGGGTGCGCGCTCTAGGAGCCGCGCACGAGCCTCGGATGCGGGCGGCCGTTTATAAACGGCCACCCGACCCTGCACTGCCACCGTCCGGCCGTTTATATACAACGGCCGGTCGGGAAGTGGTTAAGGAATCACATTCAAAATCATGTTAAATAGGAGTCAGTACACACCTGCAATCATTTAAAAGTGCCTCTGATTAACCTCAAATAAAATTCAGCTGTTCTAGTAGGTCTTTACTGACATTTTCTTAGTTGCATCCTACAGCAAAAGCCAAGATCCGCAGAGAGCTTCCAAAGCATCAGAGGGATCTCATTGTTAAAAGATATCAGTCAGGAGAATGGTACAAAAGAATTTCCAAGGCATTAGATATACCATGGAAACAGGGGCGGACTGACCATTTGGAAACTTGGGCACTGCCCGAGGTCCCGGGGTCAGTAGGGGGCCCCATGAGATGCCCCTGGTACCTTTTTCATAGGCTTTTTTGAGTTTGGGCAAGGACACAGGGGCCCCATGATCCCCTATTGCCCAGGGCCCCATGAGTTGTCAGTCTGCCCCCTGCATGGAACACAGTAAAGACAGTCATCATCAAGCAGAGAAAATGTTGTGCAAGAGTGACATTACCAAGAACTGGACGTCCCTCAAAAATTAATGAAAAGACGAGAAGAAAACTGGTCTGGGAGGCTGCCAAGAGGCCTACAGCAACATTAAAGGAGCTGCAGGAATATCTAGCAAGTACTGGCTGTGTGGTACATATGACAACAATCTCCCATATTCTTCATATGTCTTGGCTATGGGGTAGACTGGCAAGACGGAAGTCTTTTCTTACAAAGAAAAACATCCAAGCCCGGCTAAATTTTGCAAAAACACATCTGAAGTCTCCCAAAAGCATGCGGGAAAATATGTTATGGTCTGATGAAACCAAGGTTGAACTTCTTGGCCATAATTCCAAAAGATATGTTTGGCGCAAAAACAACACTGAACATCAACAAAAGAACACCATACCCACCGTGAAGCATGGTGGTGGCAGCATCATGCTTTGGGGCTGTTTTCCTTCAGCTGGAACTGGGGCCTTAGTCAAGGTAGAGGGAATTATGAACAGTTCCAAATACCAGTCAATATTGGCACAAAACCTTCATGCTTCTGCTAGAAACCTGACCATGAAGAGGAACTTCATCTTCCAGCATGACAACGACCCAAAGCATACATCCAAATCAGCAAAGGATTGGCTTCACCAGAAAAAACTAAAGTTTTGGATTGGCCCAGACAAAGCCCAGACCTGAATCTGATTGAAACTCTGTGGCGTGATCTGAAGAGGGCTGTGTACAGGTGATCTGACAGATTTGGTGTGTTTTTGCAAAGGAAGAGTGGACAAATATTGCCAGGTCAAGATGTGCCATGCTGATAGACTCATAACTAAAAAAGACTGAGTGCTGTAATAAAATCAAAAGGTGCTTCAACAAGGTTAGTTTAAAGGTGTGCACACTTATGCAACCATATTATTTTATTTTTAATTTTTTCTTCCTTCCACATGATGTCCTCCTAAGATCGCCACTCGCTTGTGCTCCATGGGCCGCGGCCGATGACAGATCACTATACCAGCCCACTGCCAGTGTCATGTGATTGCTGTGACCAATCACAGCAGATCACATGACAGTTGTAAACAAAGTAATGGCTTTCTTACATGCCATTCACTGCTTACAACTCTGCTGTGAGCTATGATTGCCCAGAATGATCACATGTACAGACTGTTCCAATCACAGCAAATCTGTAGCATGTAATCAGCTATGGTCAATCACAGCTGATCACAAAAAACTACTGAACGAATCAGTTTCATTTAGTAAAAATGTTTGCTTATATCAATGTATTTTGTTGGTATGAGCAATCATAATGTGTAAAAAAAAAAAAAGTCCTGATCACTTGTCCAGAGTAGTACAATGTTACCATGGTAACCTTGTATTGGTGTGGTCACAGGAGTAGAAAAAAATAGTAAAAAAAAAAATGTAATAAAAAAAAAGTAAACATTAAAAAAATATATATTATTATTTTTACATACTGTTACCAGTCAGTGTCCCTGTCATGGGCCGCGGCCGATGACAGATCACTATACCAGCCCACTGCCAGTGTCATGTGATTGCTGTGACCAAATCACAGCAGATCACATGACAGTTGTAAACAAAGTAATGGCTTTCTTACATGCCATTCACTGCTTACAACTCTGCTGTGAGCTATGATTGCCCAGAATGATCACATGTACAGACTGTTCCAATCACAGCAAATCTGTAGCATGTAATCAGCTATGGTCAATCACAGCTGATCACAAAAAACTACTGAACGAATCAGTTTCATTTAGTAAAAAATGTTTGCTTATATCAATGTATTTTGTTGGTATGAGCAATCATAATGTAAAAAAAAAAAAGTCCTGATCACTTGTCCAGAGTAGTACAATGTTACCATGGTAACCTTGTATTGGTGTGGTCACAGGAGTAGAAAAAAATAGTAAAAAAAAAATGTAATAAAAAAAAAGTAAACATTAAAAAAATATATATTATTATTTTTACATACTGTTGCCAGTCAGTGTCCCTGATCACCACCACGCCAATTATCTGATGACACTGTACTGCATTGGTGATAGTATGTAAAAAAATTGTGAACTTTTTTTTCCATTTATTCATTTTGCACAAAATTACGACAAAAAATGACAACTTCAAAAAACTTCAAAAAACTTGCGATGCCTCTTACTAAATATCTCAGACTGTCTACTTTCTGAAAAGTGGTAATTTTTGGGGTTATTTGTACTGTCCTGGCGTCTATAGGCCTCAAGAAATGAGATTAGCTGTCAGTACGTCAGGATTTATCACTTTGTAGACATATACCATAGTTTGTGGAGTCTATAACTTTCCTACCAACTAAATAATAGACACTGATTTGTCTTAGTTTCACCAAAGAAATGTAGCAGAATACATTTTGGCCTACGTTTGTGTAGAAAGATTTTTTTTTCAAAATGTTATAACAGAAACGACTAAACACATTTTTTTTTCAAAATTTTTGGTCTCTTCATTTATAACGCAAAAAAAAATTAAAAACCCAGCGGTGACTAAATACAGCGGGGCAAAAAAGTATTTAGTCAGCCACCAATTGTGCAAGTTCTCCCACTTAAAAAGATGAGAGAGGCCTGTAATTGGCATCATAGGTAGACCTCAACTATGAGAGACAAAATGAGAAAAAAAATTCAGACAATCACATTGGCTGATTTGGAAAGAATTTATTTGCAAATTATGGTGGAAAATAAGTATTTGGTCAATATCAAAAGTTCATCTCAATACTTTGTTATATATCCTTTGTTGGCAATGACAGAGGTCAAATGTTTCCTGTAAGTCTTCACAAGGTTGGCACACACTGTTGCTGGTATGTTGGCCCATTCCTCCATGCAGATCTCCTCTAGAGCAGTGATGTTTTGGGGCTGTCGCTGGGCAACACGGACTTTCAACTCCCTCCAAAGGTTTTCTATGGGGTTGAGATCTGGAGACTGGCTAGGCCACTCCAGCACCTTGAAATGCTTCTTACGAAGCCACTCCTTCGTTGCCCGGGCGGTATGTTTGGGATCATTGTCATGTTGGAAAACCCAGCCACGTTTCATCTTCAATGCCCTTGCTGATGGAAGGAGGTTTGCACTCAAAATCTCACGTTACTTGGCCCCATTCATTCTGTCTTGTACATGGATAAGTCGTCCTGGTCCCTTTGCGAAGAAACAGCCCCAAAGCATGATGTTGCCACCCCCATGCTCCACAGTAGGTATGGTGTTCTTTGGATGCAACTCAGCATTCTCTCTCTTCCAAACACGACGAGTTGTGTTTCTACCAAACAGTTCTATTTTGTTTTCATCTGACCATATGACATTCTCCCAATCCTCTTCTGGATCATCCAAATGCTCTCTAGCAAACTTCAGACGGGCCCGGACATGTACTGGCTTAAGCAGGGGGACAAGTCTGGCACTGCAGGATCTGAGTCCCTGGCGGTGTAGTGTGTTACTGATGGTAGCCTTTGTTACGTTGGTCCCAGCTCTCTGCAGGTCATTCACTAGGTCCCCCCCCCGTGTGGTCCTGGGATTTTTGCTCACCGTTCTTGTGATCATTTTGACCCCACGGGGTGAGATCTTGCGTTGAGCCCCAGATCGAGGGAGATTATTAGTGATCTTGTATGTCTTCCATTTTCTAATTATTGCTCCCACAGTTGATTTGTTCACACCAAGCTGCTTGCCTCTTACAGATTCAGTCTTCCCAGCCTGGTGTAGGTCTACAATTTTGTTTCTGGTGTCCTTTGACAGCTCTTTGGTCTTCACCATAGTGGAGTTTGGAGTGTGACTGTTTGAGGTTGTGGACAGGTGTTTTTTATACTGATAACAAGTTTAAACAGTTGCCATTGATACAGGTAACGAGTGCAGGACAGAGGGGACTCTTAAAGAAGAAGGTACAGGTCTGTGAGAGCCAGAAATCTTGCTTGTTTGTAGGTGACCAAATACTTATTTTCCACCATAATTTGCAAATAAATTCTTTCCAAATCAGCCAATGTGATTGTCTGGATTTTTTTTTCTCATTTTGTCTCTCATAGTTGAGGTCTACCTATGATGCCAATTACAGGCCTCTCTCATCTTTTTAAGTGGGAGAACTTGCACAATTGGTGGCTGACTAAATACTTTTTTGCCCCACTGTACCACCAAAAGAAATCTTTATCTGAGTGAAAAAAATGATAAAAAATCATACTGGTAGAGTGTTGCATAACCACACAATTGTCATTAAAAGTGCAACAGCACTGAAAGGTGAAAACTGGACTGGACAGGAAGGAGGTAAAAGTGCCTGGTAGGCAAGTGGTTAGGATTCTATCTAAGGATCACTACTAAAGTTGTGCAGAATCCCTAAATTTTGTCACCATAGTTACAATTATCAAGACTAATATACAAAAAAAAACAAGGCTTACATTTAATTACTACATGTTTTACTTGTACATTTCTGCCTGGTCTCTTCTAACGTTCAATATGCTGACGCAGAGAATGATTTTTCCCTATACTTATTTTTAGAGACTAAGCTGTGTTGTCAGCTTTCTTGTTCAGACATAACCTTTCTTAAGTAAATTTTATTTGTCAAGTGCCAGATTCATTGTATTAATATAATCTTTGACGCCTTCATCAATGCCGCTATTTGTTTGTGACAAAAAAAAAGGCAATAAAAATCTAAAAGTGCATTTTTTTCTTTTTTTTCTTAAAGGCCTGTCAATAAGAAGTGCTGCAAAGCCCTGTGTTTTCTTCTCTTTTATGGCAGAAGTGTTTCTTTTAATGAATCTTGACAGGTGCTTTCTTCTGAATCACCCCAGAGTGTGACTTCTTATGAAAGTCTAATAAAAGGAGTGACAAGCATTATTGAGAGGTACAGTGTGTGTTCCTTTCTGTCCTGCTGCTTTAAAAAGCATGCAGCATGTAAAAGGCCCTGTATGTTGCTCATTAAGAGTAGGTTGTACATTGCTACAACTGTATATTGTGGTCTTTGTTCCTACCTAGTTTT